TAATTTAAAGTTATTCAAAAGTTCCAATGGGTAGCTCATCCATTTCATTACAACGGATGTAATATCTCTTAAAGGTATGGATGAAAGTGAAGCGATCCGAATAATGAAAGAAAAATGTCTTGCAGCTTTTCTTCATAATATCAGATCGAAGAACAGAAAACAACAACATTGTTATTGCCTCAAAACATCAGATACATGGTGTTCATATCAACGAGATCGACTGACAAATAGCAATGAAGATAAAAATAAAGAGAAATTACGTTTAGATCCAGAATTCTGTAAAATTTTACATTCATTGATTACAAAACTGACAAATGAAAGTCTTTTAAGACGATGTTTGCGAGGAGTAACACAAAATGCAAATGAATCTCTAAATGGTATTGTTTAGTAAGCATAAATAGCCCTTCTTTATCTTCGCATATAAATCAGTGTTTAGCTGTTTTTTCTTGATTCACTTTTAGGTCACTTTTGTCGACATCAAAACACATGATTTTCGATCGATACGTGGTGCTGCTGCTCTTGCTTCACTATACTTTAACAGCGGTCGAACATTATTAGCTGAGTTTTTTGAAGAAACGGGTATTAATATAAATTCATTATTATTATCTAATTTACTGTCAAAAGATGAAAAATGAATATTAAGAGCCGAATGATCAATTTCACAACGTGATACTATACTCAAAGAAAAAAGTAAAAAACGACTTCAAGCGATACAATCTATGGCAGATAAAACAGAACACGGTAGTGGTGAATATTAGTTTATTTTTGCTTATTTTACAAAGTCCAGATCACTGAAGTTATTGTGGAGTAGTTTTTCTCTTTTCAACAGCTCTTATTAGATTGTATTGAAACTAAATGATTTCTGCACATTGATGTGTTTAAATTGGTTTGTTTGAAAAAAATGACCTTCTTTCAAGTATATGAAGGATGACTATGTCGCACAGGATTCCATATGTGTCAGATCTATCCAACAATAGCAACAATCGACATCATCGAAAACCTATACAGAGTCAAAGCTCATGCTAACTATTATCCGTAAAAAAAACAGAATGACGGTATCTATTTCTTTGATAACTTTTGAACAATGCACTTCAAAGACTTGCGATTTTCAGCATTGCATATAGGAGATAAATAGCTACAAGTTGACATAAAAATATCCCAGAAAACACCACCTGCAGGTGGTATACCTTATTAGTCTTTGAAAGAGTAGGCGGTGGTTCCAGGATCTACCAGAGTGATCCCTGTGCTTCTCATATAGATATGATAGCCTAAAATGTTCTCTACAAAATGGAAACTAAGCGATCTCTTAAACTTTCGTGGTTTAGGCCTGGCATCGGATTTTCTTAAAGCCTCAGGATCGATATTTTCTTAGGGGTGGTAATCTCGAAAATGAATGGAAACATGGGTTGTTCATCCCGCTGAGTCTCGTGGCAATATTTTTTTTCGAAAAAAGTTGAAAAACCTAATGAGAACCTATATTAGGTGAAATATCCCATTTTTGCCTATTTTCACGCAAAATTAGAAAATTCATAACTCATTTTGACATGATCTGGATCGATTTTGAATCCACAAGAACTTTATCTTTCCTGAGCAAATAGTTCATGTTTTTTAACATGAACTTCACCTTTGATGAAGAAATGCCTAATGTTTCTTCACAAGACCTTCGCCTGTTCTGAGCAAATAGTTCATGTTTCTTCATAGGAACTTCACCTTTGTTAAGGAAATACTCCATCTTTCTTCACAAGACCTTCGCCTGTTCTGAGCAAATAGTTCATGTTTCTTCATAGGAACTTCACCTTTGTTAAGGAAATACTCCATCTTTCTTCACAAGACCTTCAACTTTCTTTAGGAAATACTTGATCTTTCCTCATAGCAACAGCATCTTTCTTCAGAAAAACCTTAACGTTTCTTCACAAGACTGCTTCTTAATATGAGAAACTTGTTTGTTTTTGAAAATCTCACGGATTTTTGTTTATATTCAGAAAAACGGGTATTTTTAAATTTTTTCACCAAAAAATGACTTCTTAAAATGTGGAATTGTGTTTTTCCGATGCACCTCGATGAGCTCTATCCGACCATGCTAGAAAAGCAGACGGAAATTTCCTGCTGTAATTTTGAGTTACCGGCATCTTACAACCTTGTGTATCGCGCACATACTTGTAATGACTGAAGCAAATAAGCAATCATTCATCTAACAATAAACGTTTGAGAAATCGGCCCAGTGTTACAGGTTGTCATGAATATGTGCGTTTTTTTCATTCTAAAAAGTCTTATAC